AATGCCAACATCACATGGTGCTAACACAATGCCAACATCACATGGTGCTAACACAATGCCAACATCACATGCTGATAACACAATGCCAACATCACATGGTGCTAACACAATGCCAACATCACATGCTGATAACACAATGCCAATATCTTAGTAAGTTGCTTTAATACTTGAAAGTGTGATTATGGTTTTCTTTTGCAGTCTATGCATGATGAAGATGATGAAGACGAGGAAGATGACGATGAAGATGAAGAAGACGATGAAGAAGAATACAGTGAGGAAGAGTCAGAGAAGAGGTGATGTTACAGCGGTAGTGATGTTTATTGTTGGAGAGGATGAAAAAGAAAGGAAGATTTTCACCACTCATATTATCAGTGGTAGTCTTATTTCTATGTTTGAATCACTTGTATTTTCTCCCCAGATAGAATTTTGTTTTTTTAAGAGATACATTTTTAATATGTAATCAAAATTTTTAAAAATAATTTAATTTGAAGAATGCCCAATGCACTATATATAATTTTTTTAACAGAGGGTATTCTAAATATTGTTACCAGGAAAAGAATTTATCTAGTTGTATGAATATTCCTCATTTATTGCATGATCACATAATGTTTTAGATGTTTTGTTTTGTAATTTCTTGATAATGTCTCCCAAGTCTATATGATAATATGTATCTGAAACTGCCCTCTTTTACATACCAGAGTATTGAAAACACAAATGTGGTGTATGTTCATGTTTTGTGTTTTATCAATTTAATTTTGCATTTTCTTAAGTAATTTGGAATACCCTTAAGTGAATCAGTTTGGCTTCATGTTGTTAGAGTTTCTTAGTGTTCATGATGTGATTTAGTGATTCACTTATAATAAATAATAAATTAAAAAGTTTAATGTCTGTATGTACCCAAGTTAATTGTAGTTATTTTGCTGCATACTACTGTTTATCAGATGTGTTAAATGTACAGGTACAGGTAGTAAATTTACACAAAAAACACTTTGTATTGTGTGAGAAAGTGTTCATACCAACTGACAGGAAAATAGTCTGTTTTCTGAAACTAGGTTATCATGCATTGAGCTTAAGCTCAAAAATGTGACCAATATATGCCTTTACCTCCAATGGAAATACTAGTATAAATGTGTATCTTGTTTTTGTTATTTAAACATGCTTTTCTCTTTTTGAAATTTATATTCCATTCATTAATCTTATGAGTGATCCTTACCAAATGTTAACTTAAGTTTGTTACTTAATTACTGTTCAGTCACAATATAAGCGGTAGGATCTACATGTTTATTTATTCATTTTAGTGCACTAAGTACCATGAATACATACAAGCTGTAGGATCTACATGTTCATCTTCCTGTAACATGCTCACATAGTGTACTGAGTCACCGTGATATCTACATATCATTTTTACTGAAAAATATTTAAAGACAATTGATACCGTCCTGAATATTGACATCTTATTTTTTAAATCCCAATTATAGAATAAATATGACTGCAATTTGAGCATTTGAAATGTTCTTGTCACTGCTTTCCAGAACATCACAAATTAGTTATAGTTCCAAAGACTTTGTGTGATACAATGTTCTTGCTTTCTGCTTCTATCAAAGTGAAGTCAGTGCAACGGGTTTTGTTTGAGATTAAAAAACTAAAGTTTTAAATTGATACATTCTGCAGTGTCTGTTTAAGTTATAAACCTCAGAAATATCCAATCATAATATCAACTTATAAATTTGTATTATATGATTAAAATATAGATTAAGTGAATACTGCCTAACCCATCTGTACATTTCATTCAGAATTGTGTGAGAAAAATCATGTGTTGAGGATTTCCTGCTACAAAATTGTGATATTGTTTGGTTTACATAAATTGTCTAGACAGTGAATTTGGTGTAAGGAATTAGTTTTACATGAAGAGATACAAAGACATTTTTTGTGAATAACAATTGTCTAAGTTCAGCATTTTTATTTTGATGCAGTCCTCAGAATTCTGTTTCCGCCTCAGCAGCCTCTTTCAAGTGACTACTGTGACTGAAGGATTCAATAAATGCAAAGTTATCTATCCCCTTGTCTGCTACTTGACCACATATTGATGGTGACCAACTCTTCTCATGGTGGACGTCCACTCTGCAGGTGATGGTATTCTTAGTAGTAGTGTCTTCTCCACAGTCAGGAATGTTGGGCAGGTATGTGATGTTGGTGTCAGAGCTGGACTTGGGGTTAGACCATGTAGTGCGAACACTCTTTACAGGAGCTGTGTTTGGGCGCTTGGGTAACGTCTTTGTTGCTACAATGGAATGACAAATATGAGGATGACATTCCAACATATTATGGAATTGATATATAGTGTTGATAAACCAGCAAATTTCTAAGAAACACCAAATGTGTAGGTGATTGTCTAAATATCTCATTCATCTCAAGTAATGTATGAAAATATCACCAAAACCTACATAAAGGACTCTTTAAACTGAATCTGACAAAATAAAAATTAGTTTAAATTTGTGGTTCACATCTTCGTACATTTCGAGGGAGTGACAGTGCATATTAAAAAGTGAAAAAAACACCAAGTTTTTAGCATGTAAAGGTGACACATACTTTCCACAGAAGTATTTTGTTCTGCAGTATCTAACTGGTCACTGAGGGCTGTCAGGTCAGTGACTGTTAGCGTGAGGTTGTCTTGGTGACGGTCATGTGTCATCTCCTGAGTGCCTGGGAGACCTGCAAAAACACAGTGCTTTATTTAAAACACAATGCTTTCATGCTTAAGTTAAAACAGGATTGTTTAGTTAAAACAATACAGTAAAATACAGTGCATTTTGTAGTAAGCAGAATTTAAATATTTTGACCTTGACCTTTGACCTACTGTCCTAAATAATCAGCCGGGGCCATCTGCTGAAGTTCAGTGTGACCTTGACATTTGACATTAAAGAGAACTTACCTGAGTCAGTACTATCACTGGAACACTTTGCTATATATGTCTGTATAGATAAAGACAACTTACCTGAGTCAGTACTATCACTGGAACACTTTGCTATATGTCTGTATAGATAAATACAACTTACCTGAGTCAGTACTATCACTGGAACTGTCTGCTTTTGTCAGTCCAGATTCTTGCCTGCTTTCCTGTTTCAAAAGTGGCTTGACATCTGATCCCGGTGATGCAAATGGAGTTGAAAGCTCATCCTCTTCTTTTAAAGAATTCTCTGAATTCTCAGATTGAACAGTGCTCTTTATCTTCAAGGTGATTTCCCCATTTTCCCCATGAGCCATTGTTTTGATTGTCTGAAGGATAAATGTTAAATTATATCATCACATACAGATGTTCTTTCTAAGGGAACAGACTATTCGGAAACTTGACATCCTTCTCATGGCTGATTGATCAATGAATTATGGACATTTAAATGGAAGACAATTTGCAGCATTTTTTTAGAAAGATATTATATTAACTGGTATCTAGAATGGTACTGGAACAGTTTTAGTAAATTTGATATCCTAATTTCATTACAATAACAACACCTTATTTTTTACTTTACTCCTTGTTACAATTGTTGCCACACTTAATATACCTTCAGGGTTTGAGTTGGACGTAATTCTAAGCCTTTTTGTCCATTCTTCTCTGAGTCCTTTCCCCCAGAAGTTTTTCCCTTGCCTTTGCCCTTAGAACTAGGCTTGGTCAGCATTTGGGCCACTTTGGAATCTGGCTGAACAACCTACAATAGTCAAAGGCAATGAAATCACTTAAATTGTCCAAGTGTACTTGTTACATACTTACATATGACATTCACACATACAGTACCTGTATATCATTGTTTCTTGTCTTGTATATACATAAGGCATTCACACATACAGTGCCTGTATCTCATTGTTTCTTGTCATGTATATACATATGGCATTCATACATACAGTGCCTGTATCTCATTGTTTCTTGTCATGTATATACATATGGCATTCACACATACTGTGCCTATATATCATTGTTTCTTGTCATGTATATACATATGGCATTCACACATACTGTGCCTATATATCATTGTTTCTTGTCATGTATATACATATGGCATTCACACATACTGTGCCTATATATCATTGTTTCTTGTCATGTATATACATCACAAACCATGAGTAGATGAAGGAGGTGGAATAGGCCTCGGTTCACTTATTGTGTTAAGATTACTTCTCATTAATAATAATAATAATAATAATAATAATAATAATAATAAATTTATTCTAAGTCTAAAATCCATTCTAAATGTTCAGTAGACTTGCCAGAAAAATAAGTATTTTAGAACACAATTACTAAGATATAAAAAAGTATTAAAAAAGATTAGGAATCTAGAAAAAAAGCCAAATTCTCAATTAAAGCCAACTGCAATTACACAACCACATCGTTCAAGTAAGTTAATAGGTGCCACCAAATAAAAATAAAGTGAAAAACATCACAGACGAAAACTAAGAATTTAAATAAAACCCCGGCTTGGATTGGTAGTGCTTTTAAAACTGCAGTGCTTTTGAAACTGGTATGATATATGATTGCACATAGAGGTATGAGGTCATAATCTGGTGGAAATGATTTAAATATGTTGACAGTAGTATATAAACTGGTATGATATATGATTGCACATAGAAGTATGAGTTAATAATCTTGTGGAAATAATTTAAATATGTTGACAGTAGTATATAAACTGGTATGATATATGATTGCACATAAAGGTATGAGGTCATAATCTGGTGGAAATGATTTAAATATGTTGACAGTAGTGATTTTTTTCTGTTTCTTGAGGCAGTGAGTTGAAATAATCCAATTTAGAATTTACCAAGGAATGTATGACTGTAGCTGTGGTAGAGTCTGAAGGGTGAATATGAATTATCCGTATGATCCCAATGTTAAAAACTGCAGTCTGGCATGTAGTAAAAAAGGGACTGTTTGACCAGTTTCTGCTGCTGAGTATTGACCCACCACTCACCTGAATGACTGTCTTAAGAAGTCGAGGTGTGCCTTCCCTTTCCTTAATTATTTCTGTGGCTTCTGTTTCCCCCTGGTCATTCTGGAGTTTAGCATTCTGATGAAGCAATTTCCTGTACAAAAATAATACAAGATTATAATGAAAGCTGGGGACTGTACTCTAATGACTATACAACAAAGACAACATTTTTTGCTATTTTACCTTTATCACTTATTGACATGGAATTAAAGTTTAATATCCAATTTTTATGAAATGCTGCTTTGTTGTATTACACTGCTTTTTTCTTTAATATCTTCTGAGCCTTGGGGTAGTCACTCATTGCTGCATTGAAGTCTTCCTTGGAGAGGATGAACAAGTTGGAGAAACCCTTGGAGCGAACATCAGCTGTCCTGCGATTACCACCAGCAAGGGCCAGAAGACTGAAGGACAAGAAAAAGGATCATCTTAGGGAGTAATGCACTGGATTCCACAATCATTATATTAGAGTTCTGTACAGTCTCAATATATTAGCATTTTCCATTTGGCATATTTTTACAGTATAGCTTCATGTACATAAGTGTGAAATAGTCATGAGGAGATCAGTGCCAGATTTAGAGGGGGTCAGGGGGCTTCTGACCCCCCTTAGGTTTCTGAACACCAATATTCCCCATTTGAAATTAGAATTTTGACTAGCTAAATTATAATTCTACCATACCAAAGGGCACTGTTTGCTTTCCAAAACACAAAATATTTTTCAGGGCCCTTGAGCAGGCCTTGAACCCCACACCAACGGGGCAATCGTCAAGTTGGCATCCAAGGCCTGTCATTCTGGACCCCCCCCCCCCCGTCAAATAATCCTGGATCCCCCCCTGGAGATGCATTTGCTTTCTTATGCTTTTCTGAGAACTGAAGGTGAAAAAGTTTTCATTATAGAAGGGGACGATAGGGATGCTATCAGGTAGGGGAAATGAACCTACTAAATAATCTTTCTTGTTCTAAACACTTACAACACTCAGTAAACTGAGATGTCACTGACCAGGGTCCATTAAGAAAAGTCTATTTTCTAAAAATCTATTTCCTATTCGTGGTATCTTATGATCACTCCGAGCGCAGCGGAGAATTAATTACAGCTTTGGAAGTAACTGGCTCGCGCTGCCAGTAATTACGCCGCGGGGTATTCAGGGCACAGACCGTGATTACAAGATACCACGAATAGAAAATAAATTTTTAGAAAATAGACTTTTCATGTGAATGGAGTCTAACATCTCAGCGACTAACAGTCATTGCAACTGTCCTCAGCTTTTGTCAACCAAACCTTGGTCAACATTTACACATACAAAGTTCAAGTAAAGTTTTAAATTAATGCTGAACTTTTCATGACTCTAATTTCATCATTAAAAATCCCCTAATTTTAAGGCAAAAAATGCCATGCTACATGCCTTCTGATATAGGAGCCGGTCTCTGGCAGTTTTGGCAACTGCCGTGTTTCTGATTTTATGATACTACCACAACGAATTTATAAAAAATCTGTACAAATTTTCAATTCAAAAGCTAGTGAACTTACGAACTGTCAGATTTAATCAACTTTGAAATTAATATTTTTTTTCTTTTTGAGCCAACTGATACATTCCTGGAATCGTCAATTTCATGAGCATTCTTACATTTAATTATAAAATCATCATAACAACTGATATGTATATGTATTATAGACCTGTAATTCAGATGCCATTGTGGCTTCATATTTCACAATAAATAATTCATATCTGTTCTCATTTATCTAGAGGAGGATATATAATACATATTACAAACCTGATTTCCCCAAAGACACTTCCCTCGCTGAGTGTGGCCAGTACCAAGCCATCAGCACTGACCACTTCCACCTGCCCTTGCTTCAGGATGTACATCTCTGTGCCTACTTCTCCCTTCTTACAGATATAATCCCCAGGTAGATACAGCACTGGAGTTAACTTTAACACCAGGTCAAATAACAGCTGCTTCTCACAGTCCTAGGATACACAGGAGTAGAACACGAGTAAAACACAGAAGTGGTGTAGTCAGGAGCTAGAACTGACAGTCCTAGGACACACATGAGAAGAACATGAGTAAAACACAGCAGTGGTGTAGTCAGGAGCTAGAACTGACAGTACTAATACACACAGGAGTAGAACATGAGTAGAACACTCTGAGTCATGCATGATACATTGAACTTGTCAAATCAGGTGAAGGAAATGACTTTTGACACCTTTTTGTTTCAAAATTACATCAGTTTCTCACTTTTATATTTTTTATTCATTTATTTCCTTTCTATTATACATGTATGTAAAGAAAAAATCCATTGTAATAGCAGTTAGTGATAAAAGTAATATTCTGTCCACTTTTTACCTGAAAGAGCTGCACTTTACTTAGTGTCTCATAGTGCACACTTATTGCCAGGTCAGCCATCATCTTATTGGGCAGTGCCCGCAGCAGTTCATTCTCATCTGGAAAACAAAGAGAAACTCAACTATTAAATACTCAGGCCTACCCAACTACCAGACTCGGCACCAAATGATTCTAAATTCACTGGTAGATCAGACCACACTACCCATTTTCAAGGTGTGTGTCAGATCACATTACACAGTATCATACCCTGAACAAATTTTGAGTGGTGATGCAATGCTTTTCAACCCCGCTGAGAATCGTCACTGTCACATCGCGTACTAGGCAAGAGCGGTGTCGCGTCTGATACTGTGTAATGCGATCTGCTTGGCGGAGGTCTGCGCTCTCAGAGTGCTTTTCTAGTTCAATATATTTTGTATCCCTCTATAATTGTGCTCTTACCCATAAGGGTTGTGGTTAACATTAAGTGATTGGCTCTATGTATTGAAGACATGGTCAACATCTGTTAATTTAGCATTCAACAGCAATTACTTGCTTTCACACCTTAATTTCTTTTTGAAGACAAATAAATAAGTAAACATTTACATTTTTTGTGTAAGAATTTTAAATTGTGAAAGTTTTTATAAGTAAGTTGCCACTGTGAATGGAAAAGTAAGGATCTATGGAGAAGAAAGAGGTGCTAATGAGAGGCAGGTGGCTGTGGAAAGGTCTTTATCAGGTAATAAATTCTACTGTCTGACCCAGGGTTTTCTGTGATTCCCAGCTGAAGGTGAACCAGGAGCGGACTTTATTCTGCACTTGTTTAGGCACCCCAGAGTTCTGAAGATAGTTCAACACAGTGCTCATCTGCTCACGAAAGTCACTCTTCACCTTCCCCGAGGCCTGATAGATGTCACGAATCTGGATATAAAGTTAAGAAGAAAAATGCACTCACATTCAAATGTTGAATCGCATTCACAACGAGTTGAGCCAGGCTTTACAAGTCCTGGAACTAAATATGGCGGACGTACATGAAAGAAAAACCGCCTAATCTTTTAATAGCCTCTCTGCCTTTCACACGTCACCCCACACGTAGTCCCTGCGGGATACAGTCATTAAATCTCGGCTCCATTCGCCATACGGAAGCTACCTGAGAAATATTAAGTGTGCATGCTCATTGGTCTTGGGTCAGCTGATCAGCTGGGTAGGCCTATCTCCGTGAATATCTCCGTGAATATCTCTGGTGACATTATCTCCGTAGATAGCCAATTCATTGCTGCTCTACGGGCCAATTCATTTCTTTTTCGTCTCTGTTTTGAAAGATAATAGAACAGAAGAGCTTTTTTTCTTCGATCGCCTCCAGCCGCCATGCTTTCTTCACCTCGAGTTTAATTGATGAGCATGCGCACTTAATATTTCTCAGTGTGAGGCGTGTGGCGTTTTTTCTTTCATGTACGTCCTCCATATTTAGTTCCAGGATTTGTAAAGCCTGGCTTAACTCGTTGTGAATGCGATCTTAGACAAAAACTACAGCAGGTAAACAACACATTAGATGGAAGGATACTTATCTCATTTTTCAGCATACATTAAGAGGCTAAGTTTATGAACACTCACCTGTCCTATCAGCAAGGCAAAGATAAAGACTCCTGACAGCCAGTAGACAGTCATGAACACATAGGTTAAAGTCACACTGAACACAGTCTATGAACACTCACCTGTCCTATCAGCAAGGCAAAGATAAAGACTCCTGACAGCCAGTAGACAGTCATAAACACATAGGTTAAAGTCACACTGAACACAGTCGTTGAACACTCACCTGTCCTATCAGCAAGGCAAAGACAAAGACCCCTGACAGCCAGTAGACAGTCATAAACACGTACTCCAGAGTGTTGGTGGGTGTAGGGTTGTTACCAATAGATGTCGATGTCTTGGTGGCCAAGTAGAAACATCTCACGTACCTTTAACAAACACAATTGTACAAAGCGTTCATAACAGTCCATAATTTCACGTGCTATCCAGTATATACTTAATTAAGCGATACGCCTATGTTGAAGGCCCTAGGACATGGTGTTTATTACAATTCCCTTTTACTCATTTCGACAGGTTTTACAGAATTAATTAACACATGTTTAAAAAACAAACCAAAACCAAATTTCGATCTATTTACAGATCCTGTAGTCAAACACTTTAGATACATTACATTCAGAGTCAAGGTGTGTATGGGCGTATTCCCAGAGCTTTCAGATCGATCTATCCCCACGGGGAGTCTCACTAGATTACTGTCAGATAATCCGGCTTAAATGTCCGTCCCGCCTACTACAAGCTGTAAGGGGGTAATTAACTTTCGTACCCGCTCGGCTGACGGCTATTATCTAAAGTAGATCGATCTAAACTCTGGGAATGGGGTCTATAACTGCCTATTACGCATACACATTGTTACTTCCAGATTTTTACACAACTCAATTAAATCCACATGCAAAAAAAACTTTCAAACTGAACCCTTTTCAAACGCTTGGTGGCAATATTGACCTACTTATTCACCTTTCAAATTCGTAATAAAATGAAAAATGAAGCAAGAGGAAACACATTAAGTTTAACCGTTTGGTTTAGTTTGGTTTAGTTTAGTTTAGTGGCAATGATTTGAAAAACGACAGACCATCCCCCAAATCTAGCCCAATTCTATTAAACCTATTTTGAAAATTGCATCAATTTGCCTTCATAGCTTTTTACATAATGTTGCTAACAGACAGGCAGACAGACAGACAAATGGAACCAAAAACATACTGCTACAGTAATCGTTTTGGTGGAGTTTATAAAAAGACCTGCTTGTATCGCACTTTTTACAAGCCAGATAGCCCAGAACCCCCCACACCAATCTAAACGATAGCAGTCAAGTGTGCTATGGCTGAGTCTGTCTGGATGGCTGAAATGATAGCTGGCTTCTAAGTCTGACTCTGTCTCGATGGCTGAAATGTTGGCAATTTCTTCTGACTGACTTATCCCGGAGGGCTTAAGTGATAGCCGTCATTTTAGACTGACTGTCTAGCGGGTTGATACGATAGCCGTTATCTCAGCCTAGCCCTATCTGGAGGGCTGAAAAGATAGATGTCTTGTAAGACTGACTGATTATCGGGGGTTGGGCTGAAGTGGTAGCCATCTCCTCAAGCTAAATCTATGAATAGCAAGTTATCTTCAGTGTCAACTCACGCGTTCCCCTCGCCATTGTACACCCATTTATTGCTCCCTATTCCCTCATAGACAGACACCGCATAGTAACCACATGTCTCTACGTGGATCAGATACACCATGTACGTCATCGTCTTGGCAACACGAATTAAATGGGGAGATTTGGCAGCTTGATCAAAGCGGTTGTAGAACTCTAGAAATGTCTTGATCTGAAAAAATATGCCAGAAAAAATGGAAACGCCTTACAAGGGATACATTTTAAAACTTGTCATTTTGTAAAGTCATCTAAAACCCAGGTCAATTTAATATTAAAATAACTTAAAATATTTTGTCAATGTTGTGCTTACCTTAAAATACCTTGGTGCCCGCAGTAATGAGTTGAACCCTACAGCAAAGTACAGGAGATCTAATGGTAGCAGAGACAGCATGTCCAGCTAGAAAGAGAACTAGATTTTAGAAAGTTGATAAAACACTTCACCGCACCTCCCTGGGCATGGGAACTTCAAAAAGACATAATTAAAACAAGATCGTATATTCAAGTATATGTGCAGTGTTTACCATACCTGTATGCATACTGAAGTGATTGGAACAACCTAAGCATACCTTAAACTCCAACTTTCTAAAATAGTTCCTCCTCATTTCCTTTGGATCTCCCTGAAATAGGTTCGTTTGAAATATATATCAAAGAACAAAAACATTTCAATAAAAACCACTGGTAAAATATGGTTACTTAAAATGACTTCTGTTGTTAGTGAAAAAGGCTTTTTATGTACAGACACAGATGTGTCTGTACATATAGCCATCATCTGCGTCTGTCGTCGCCGTCGTCGCCGTCGTCGCCGTGCACTCAGCGATAACACGATAAGTGGAATACCGTTTTACATTTTGTATTCAAATTTACAGAACTGATGAATATTCATAATACGCAGGTCAAGTTCGAAAATCAGCATGATCGGGTCACTTTTAGGGAATTTATGCTGTTTTTTCACTTTTTTCAGCATATATGCAGCACCGATAACACGATAAGTGGAAAACTGTTTTACCTTTTAGCTTGAAACTTACAGAACTGATGAATATTCATTATACGCAGGTCAAGTTCGAAAATCAGCATGATTGGATCATTGTTAGGGAATTTATGCTGTTTTTTCACTTTTTTCAGCATATATGCAGCACCGATAACACGATAAGTGGAAAACTGTTTTACCTTTT